AGACACAGGCGTGACTCCTGGTTTAGGTTGGGACGCGAGGGTAGCAGCTGTTGTACGAGTCTGCCAATACGAACGCAGCAAATCTGCACAGTTAGTCAGGTTCGACTCTGGTTCCCACGAGTCGTACTCTGGACCTTGATTCTTCCAATGCATTAGAAAGATCCGAGTGCGACAACGCTTTTGTGTCACGTCACGATGATCAAGGACTGCCTCGACTTCGAATTCCAATTCACCATCCACAATCTCCGGTTGTGGAGGTTTCGGAGCACGATCACTCTCATAGTAAGGCCGTAACAGAGACACATGGAATACGTCATGAATACGCGTTCCATTAGGCAAGTCCAAACGATAAGCGACGTCGTTAATCTTAGCCTTAATTATGTATGGTCCGATAAAACGAGGAAGCAACTTGTGCAGACCTTCAAGACGCATGTGCTGAGTGCTCAGCAACACGACGTCTCCAAGCTTGAACTGACGTTCCGAACGCTTGAGATCAGCAAAACGCTTCATACGATCACGTTGTGCAGCCAAACAACGCTTAGCACGCTCAAGTGCACCTTGCATGTCAGATGCAAAACGTACGGAAACGGCGTTGCGAAGAGCACGCGCCTTCTCCCCCCCCACTTGGCGAGCCAAGAGAGAACTAGGAGTCAGAGGTTCGAAACTGTACATCAGACGAAACGGAGAAGTACCAGTAGAGGAATGCACCCAGTTATTCATGGCGAACTCAGCCATGGAAAGGAAACGAGACCAGGATCGATAATCACCGGCAACATAATGGTGCAAAATATCCTCGAGGGTACGATTCACACGTTCAGTTTGACCATCAGTTTGTGGATGATAAGCCGAACTGAAACGGAGGTCGATAGACAGATCCTCACACAGATGCGTGAAGAAAGCGGAACGGAAACGTGGATCCCGATCACAAACAAGGATCGCGGGGGAACCATACCGACGAACAACGGTATCAACGAAAAGCTTAGCAGACTCCACCGCAGTGATTTCTTTGCGACACGGAACAAGGTGAGTCATTTTGGTAAGCTTGCAAACGAAGGCGTAGATTGCCGTATACCCATCCGAATCAGAAGGAAGATCCGTAATGAAATCCATAGTGACGATTTGCCATTTCCCTTCAGGAATGGGCAACGGAAGGAGCTTCCCAGCAGGAAGATCGTTAGAGCACTTAACGCGCTGACAACTGTCGCACGTACGAACGTATTCTGCAATGGCAGAGCGAAGTTTCGGCCACCAAAACTGACGACGCACCAGGTCCAACGTTTTGGCCACCCCACCATGACCCGCCATCGGATGATCATGACAGAGATGCAGAATGTGCGAACGAAGTTTGGAATCATTAGGGATCACGAGAGCATGTTGGTTGTACCAGAAACGATCATGCTTTTGCAGAGACGCCGTATTAGACGGATCGGCAAACCAAGGATCAGACGAATAACCTGTCGAAGGTTATTCGACAAGCAACCGCTCTAAGTCTGGAAAAGAGGTCGATATCTCTGAGATGACGCCAGCGGAAGATGCGGAAGCATCCCCACTCGGAGTGGCGCGAGTCGAAATTGCCATCATCAGACACTCGTGACTGCGTCCCGGGAACCGAGACAGAGGATCTGCGGGATTGCAAACTCCTGCGCGATATTGCCAGTCGAACGTGAAAGACTCAAGAAATTCCAACCACCTCGCCTGACGTCGAGACAGTTGAGCTTGTGTCGGGTACGAAAGGTTGGGCTTATCAGAGGGTTGCAGAGATGGGGGATTGGGGGCAGGTACTGGTCAGGCGGGATGGGGAATAGGGTTGACGATGTCAGGATGGGATGTGGGGCCCAGGGCGAGGATTAGGGATTAGGCGTGCTACACTACTTTTGGGATGGGGATTGCTGTCGGGGGTGAGGATGGGGATGGGATCCCTGTCTGAGGGATGGGGATTGCAACCTTGACCAAGGAGGGGATTGGGAGCCCTGGCCAGGGATGGGGATGGGACCCTGGTCGACAGGACGGGGATTGCAGGCTTTCGCA